GAAAATGAAAAGTTATAGCAATTCAAAATTTACGAATTTTATAAAATTTCATGTTCTTATGTAACATTAATCTGTCATTTTGACAATGTTGGCATAAGGTGCCGAGGACGAACATTTGAGTATATACGGAACAATTATTAATTTTTTCTGCGAAGTGAGTCTCATGAACGACAATTCACCACAATTTTGTTAAAATTAATGTTGAAATGAAGAATATATTTCAGTCTAATGTTAGTGCAAAATATCATTAGGCCTTTGTAATCACCGCACGACGCGCGACTAACATGGCAACTAACACGCGCGTGGGTAAATCGTCACGTATGCTGACGGTTTATGGTCTGGTTGCTATGGTTTTTGTGACGTTCAGCGTGTAGGGACGCACGTGCGCCTAGAATGTCGATGCCAGAGTTATAACCTTTGATGTCCCGAGATGTGCGTCCTTTTGTTAAATTACCTTGATACAACGATGGAAACAAATTTATTAAGGCAAAAAATAATGACAAAGAGGAAAGGGGGCGTCAAGTTAAACCTTTTAAAGCCCCTTATTTAGGTACGTTCATACAATGAATATTATGTCATACGAAATATTCGGTGGTCCGTGTGTCTACGAATATACCAAATTGTATAGCAACCTCCAAGTAAACTCTTAGGCCAAGTTAAAAAAAATAATTTCTCGTCCTAATATTTTGTTTAAAAAAAAAAAAAAGGAGGAGAGTGAGGGCACTTTTTAATTTTTTTTTTTTACTCCGAGATGGCAAATCCAAGATGGTCGAATGGAAACAGCTATTTGTTTACTTTACCAAGTACATTGAAGGCAAATAAAAGAAATAAACATGATTCATATCATGTGTTTCCCCAACCACGAACGATCGAGAGAGGAATGTTACTGATGTTAGTTAGCCAGATTTTCGTACATTTCGTAAAATAAAAGAAAGGACCGGTAATTTAAAAAAAATGGTGAGGCAGAGAAAACGGATGCGCGAGAGGACTAGAAACTAGTATTTTTTTTAATTTAGTGTTATGCATAAACACACAATAAATACCGATATAGCGATAATAAAACCTAACCATACCTATATATTCATTGCATAATAATAGGCTAACTGTAAAAAAATGCCGGGTCAAGGATAAAAATACTGTAATTATTTTCAACAACAAAAATTACCGAAAATCAACTAAGCTTTCCATAACCCTAATAACTTGACTCCAAGATAAAAAAAAAAAAAAAAAAAAAAAAAAAAAAACTCCCTGGTCTGTACTTGTTGAGCGGGTCTGGTTTTTCTTGCGGAAGTCTTCTTTAACACTGAAAAAAAAAACATTCAATCAATCAATAAACCCCAAAATGCAACATTCACATACACATGGAGTCCCAATCTAAGAGAAGGTACTTTAAAGACAAAAGCATGGTTCTCACGAGAGCCCTAGTATCCGGATCGGGCGTTCTCACGCACTGTGCTAACGGTTAGCTCTGCGATCCGGATACTAGGGCTCTCGTGAGAACCAGGCTACTCGCACAATCACTGTAGTTTGCCATGTCCATCAGATGAAAATGAGGATACAAGTAGGCCTAAATGTTAACTTGATCTTTTGTGTGTGGTGGTGGTAGAATTATCCTTATTCAGGGCCGGGAAATTTTCCCGGAGGATGGCGGGAAATGAGCTTTCCCGACTTCAGGTTCTTTTAAAATATTTTTCTCATTGTTATTACTAGGCCTATGTGTGTACACATACAACAAAAAAATAGTAGTTGCATACGTATTCTTTTTTTCCTGAATCCCCAAAAAGAAAGGGGGTCTGGGGTCTGGAATTTTTATTCCTGGATGGCGAAATGAGCTTCCCCGAAAAAAAATTCAGCTCACGGGTCCTGAAAAGTTAGGTCTAGAATTTTTTTGCTTGGCAGCCCAAGGGGCTGTCTCTTATACACATCTAGATGTGTATAAGAGACCGGTTTTCAAAGTTAGTGCTTTATAATAATTGTTTTAGAAAATCTAAAGTATTTTTATTACAATTTTACAAAAATTACTTTTAAGTCCTTATTTACAAGAGCAGCTTAGCTCAGTCGACTAATCTGCTGGTAGCCGCTGTGTGTGCGCTAAACCGTGGAGATCTCTAGATCCCCGGTTCAATTCCCATCGCTGCCTCTCCTTGTGTTTCAGCTAGAGGGCTGAAATACAAGTTACAATAGCGCACCGTGTGTGTGTGTGTGTGTGTGTGTGTGTGTGTGTGTGTGTGTGTGTGTGTGTGTGTGTGTGTGTGTGTGTGTGTGTGTGTGTGTGTGTGTGTGTGTGTGTGTGTGTGTGTGTGTGTGTGTGTGTGTGTGTGTGTGTGTGTGTGTGTGTGTGTGTGTGTGTGTGTGTGTGTGTGTGTGTGTGTGTGTGTGTGTGTGTGTGTGTGTGTGTGTGTGTGTGTGTGTGTGTGTGTGTGTGTGTGTGTGTGTGTGTGTGTGTGTGTGTGTGTGTGTGTGTGTGTGTGTGTGTGTGTGTGTGTGTGTGTGTGTGTGTGTGTGTGTGTGTGTGTGTGTGTGTGTGTGTGTGTGTGTGTGTGTGTGTGTGTGTGTGTGTGTGTGTGTGTGTGTGTGTGTGTGTGTGTGTGTGTGTGTGTGTGTGTGTAGTAGTAGTAAATGCCTGATGTTCGCATCGTTTATTATGAAGTGTTTTTATTTATAAGCCATGAAATACTCACACGTAGGAGTGTAAAGTAGAATAAGCCACAGCCTGTCAAACTATTTCGAGAGCCCGACAGATAAACTCAATACCGGCTTTATAATAATCCAAGGGTCACGTGGGCTCGTAGGTATGCTATCCCGGCGTCATCTTACCTGTTATCTATAGTGTCTCATCAATTTGCCAGTGGAGCGCCTGCTTTCACTTTCGCCTTTACAAAGTAGGACATGTAGGTCATCACAGAAAATTCATCAATTTTTGGATTAACTATATCTTCAGGTATGACCACCTGTAATATAACGTATAAAAAATAAATAAATGAAAAATAAAATTCAGTTTGCAAAATAGTTCGGAATGGGGGATTTTCTTATCTACCACTGCCACAAAGAATAGTTAATAGGCCTATGATATAATACAGTAATATTAATCTACGGAATTTTCATTGATAAATTAAAACAGTGATAAGCCTAATCAGAAGGGTTTTGGCCACAGTTGATCGGCGTCCCTGTGAAAAGTACGCCTAATTATACGAGTGAGTAGAATGTAAACTGATAATAAACTGGATTTCCATACCTGCGGCACACCCAACCAATCTTCAGCGAGCTTCATGGCCTTTTGTACATTTTCAAGCGTTTCATTCGATTCTTCCCATGCAGGACACAAACCTACGAGGAATTCAGACTATGAATCGTTTACAGTATTGTAAATTAATAGCCCGTATCAGGTCCGCATCCAGGTTCTTCCAAGGGAGGGTTTTCTGGGCGTGAAGTCCATAGTCAATGCCCCGGTGGGGTCGGCGAAACCCCCAAAGCAAGAGGATTTTTGTGCTTTATGGGTCTAAATAATGCTATGAAGCAGATACGTTTGGAAAATGTCTGTGTCTGGGTGGGTCTGCAGTGCATTAGTTGGGTTGGAGGACTTATTTGGGAAATTTAAAGAAGGGGTTTCGCCAGAAAAGAGGGGGATTTGCTAAACAAAGGGGGGAGGGTTCTCCCGAACCATAAAATCCCCCCTGGATACGGGCCTGCCTATTGACAGGGCACATGGCCATGAACCTAAGGAAAATATTTCGTTTGAGGAAAATCATTTTTTAATATATGTTAGATGGTTAGACAACTGATTTTTCTAAGGTACAAAAAGCATACCGTACTCGCGCGAATAAGCGCCCGGGCGCTTAAAATATTTTTTGGACTTTTTGAGGGGCGCTTATTCGAACAGGGCGCTTATAAAAAACAGAGTGAAAATTGAGGGGGCGCTTATGGAAATACATGAAAATCGAAGGGTTCTTATGAGAACTTATTAAATCCAAGAGGCACATTTTGAATGAAAAACGATTAAATAAGGACATCAAGAAACCGCAAATTACCAATGGTGCTGCGGCGGAAAAGATAATCGTCCAGAGAGCATGGCTTGTCATGACAAGAATGTTGTGAGTACAGTATTAACAGCAGAATAGAATAGCACATGAAATTAGTGGTGGTGGTGTTCGCCATAGGTCGATTGAGAATAGCAGGACGGCATGATCATTGCAGGTTTTCTTGAAAACTTAGATGAGAATGTGTTAAAGGTGCAAATTGTCGAAAAAGGAGTAGTAGGACTAGGATATAGACAAATAAAAGAATAAATAAATAAATATCCTCAATTGATATTGACTAAAGGAGAATGTGATTCCACTTCACACCTCAAATCATGCCAGCATCCACAGTTCCAGGATTGATTGGGTTATTGAAGGGGAGTTTATTCAAACGAGGCGCTTATTCGCGCGAGTACGGTATTGTTATAACAATGATTTGACAAAAAAAACAACTTTGGAGCGGTTAATGAGATGCAGATTTTTAATACTTAAAAGTGGAAAAAGGATGGGTACGCCCCTTCCCCACCCCAATTTTTAAATATTCAAACATCTGTATCTCATTAACCCGCTTCCGACTTTTTCGTCACGCTTTTTGTGTTTTAGAAAAATCAGTTGTACAAGACATCAATTTTTCTTGTCCTCCACAATCTGGCTTTAACATAGGCCTATATGCTGCCAGCTATACTGGGGACATCTTTTTAAGGAGACGCTTTTGTCTCGATAAAATGGGAACAGCTCAGGTTATGACAAACTTTAACTGACATGTTACTTGGCCTACCTGGGGCGCAAGCATCGATCAAAGCACAGACTGCACGACCATTATTCCAATCGGTGGAGAAATTCTTGATTGAAAAGTCTGGTATCTTCTCATTCACCCAGGCGAGCAACTTTTGCTTTGGGGTTAGGTCTCCTTTGTCGTCATATAATGGTGTTGAGACGGAGTACTTTAGTATCAACGCCCAAACGAGACCTAAAATCATTTTCAGGTTTCCCTTCACAATGTCAGATGCGTCTGTGAAATTCAAAAATACTTCATCTTGCATAATGTGTTATTTCAAATTTTTTTCACAAGTTTAATGGCGAACTTTAGACCAATTATTCTGGTTAATGTAATTTTGAATTAAAACACATCCATACAAAACCATGAAAAACCGAACTTTTATTAATTAATTCTCTCACAAAACATAGCCTATTCAAGGAGGACATATGGTTTCTTCATATCAAGTCCTTTGTTTATTAAAGTCGGTGGTACATAAAAAGAACCCCCCAATAAAATAATTAAGATAAAAAACCAATAAATAATACACAATAAAGAAAATAACACAAACCTCTTTAATACTATATAATGCAGTTCATTAAGCGTGTTTTATGAGTCCACAAGACTCGTACTGCAAACGAAAGTTACTTTCTGGTATGGCACGCAAAACTCGCAGTTTGCTTCCAGAGAACACAACCGGAGCGCTTCCGTACAAATTGTAGCCAACAGGCTTACTTCTCAGATCAGATCAGAACAGATCAAGATGCTGTTCACTGTTCACACATTCAGTTCCACTGCATTTTATCTTTAATCCACACAGGATACTCACTCATATCCACACAAGATAGCCATAAACTTAATCCACACAGCATAACTTTTGCAGTTTGACACGCACATTGTTAGTATGAATAATATAGCCTAATATTCAGTGTATAATAATGTATAATACATACAATTTTTTTAACCACTCAGGACACTTTACACTACCAGGTCCACACTTTGATAGTAATCCTACAATTTCCATTCAGTCCACACATGACAAAAAAAAAAAGGTCCCGACGGGGGGGGGG